AAAATATTATCCAATTAAATTTATGATATGAATTAACCAATAAAATAAGAACTAAATATTCATATCATAACAATATAAGTATCCTTTGTGATGTTCTATATTATATATGTATTTACATAAAGTCATAACTCATTTTGCTAGTCTACCAAATAAATTTGAAGTATTAAATAAGCTTTTCAAAGCACTATAATATATAATATGTAATTTAAATATATACTTTCTATATATGACTTGTATATGTGATTTTACATATGATTTATTATATAATTTATATAATTTATATAATTTTGATAATTATATAATTTACATAATTTGTATAATTTGCATAATTTATATAAATTTATATTTATTATAATTTTTATATAATTTATTTAATTTTTATAATTTTTATATAATTTATTATATTTTATAATTTTTATATATTTTATTATTTTTTATAATTTTTATATGTTTTATTATATTGTTATTATTCACTATTTTTCTTGATTATCTAACATGAGATATTATCAGATTCTGAGTAATATTTAATCAATTTTATTTATAAATATTTATTTATTTATTTATTTATTTTTAATTATTTTTTATTTATATTTGATGATATTACAAATTATCAATTACTTTAATTAATTATTATACTATTTTTATTAATTATTAATAATTATAATTTTATTAATTCTTGATTTATAATTATTAAATTATTTAATTTTGATTATTAATTTATTTAATATAATACTAATATTTCGCTAATTTCAATTGTAATACTTAAATTAATTTGTATTATATTTATTATTTCTTGGTATTATATATATTATAATGTTATTATTTTATTAGTTCTTTATATTGTTATAAATCTTATAGATATGTATTACTTTAATATATATTTAAATAAATATAATCTAACATAGAAAAGCAAATATCTTATAATTTATTTTTGATCTTGTTAATAATAAAAAATAAATAAAATTGCAAATTATTTAAATTATTTTGTTCTTATTAATTTTTTTGTCTTTATAATCTTATTACTTGTTAAATTATGATTATTTATACTTAATAAATTTCTCTTATAAGAATATTTATACAATTCTTGTTACTTGATATTAAAATTTATATTATTAAAAAAATATATACTTTAATACTTTGTGTGAATATAGTTACTATTATCTATCTCATGAATATTTTCATCTATAGAAATTATAGATCAGTAATAATATTTATTTCATTTAATCAAAATATTTAGTTTAATATACTTATATATAATAAAAATTTGTACTTAAAATTAATTATAAATAAAAGAATAATTGATATTTTGAAAAAAATATTAATTGATCAAGATATAGCTAGTAAAAATAACTTGTTTTATAAAGTTATTGTATCAAAATTAATAAAACTTAAAATCTAATTATATTTTTTTACAATCATTATCTTGTATATAATTATTTTAATTATATTAATTTATTTAACTTATTTTTAATCATATCACTAAGAATATAAAGCACACTTAAAATATATCTATATTAAGAAGATTCACAATATCTTTTAGTAATAATAATAAAATATATATTTGTTAACTAACAAATTCATGTTATAACTAAGTTTAACTATCTTGATATAATATTATTCATATTAATTTTGTACTAAATTCTTTATAAACTCACTTATAATAATATTCAAATTAATTAGTGAATTGTTGTACTATTTGATTTTTTTCTAGTTGTTATTGTTCTTTTTAATTTTCTTTTTCTTGAAATTCTTTTTGTTGAATTTTTTGTTTTTGTTGTACTTCTTAAATTTGAATAACTATTGATACTTTTTTTTTTCTTTTTAGTATTGAAAGATAATGTTGATTGTTAACTAACTGGTTTGTTAATTGATTAAAGTATTTGAAAATGATATTTACTTTGTTGAATTCTTCTAGCTTAAAATTTTTAACAATTTTAATGAATTATTTATGTTCTTTTTCAGTAAATAATTCTTTTAGGCTGAAGATTTCTATTAGTATTCTTTTTTGTTGTTTTATTTTTTTTAAATATTCTTTTCTTTGTTAACGAAATTGATGAATTTCTTGTTAAATGTAATGTAAGAAAGTTTGAACTTCTGATTTAGTTAATTCAGTTTCTATTTTGCAAATGCTTCTTTTGCTGTAGTTGATATAATTTTGTAAATTATTTCTTTATAAAATATCTTAAAGTTATTAAAAATAATTTTGAGATTTTTATTAGAATATTATTTTGATGTTGATACTTCAATAATTATTTTTTGAAATAATTTTTTAACTTTAGCATTAGTTAATTTTGTAGAATTCAAATTGAAAAAGATTTGTTTGTTACTAGTTTATTTGTTCTTTCATAAAGAATTCTTAATTCAATTTTGATTTTTTTTGATATAATACTTTGTTTATTTATAAAAAATTCTTTGTTTAAATAGAATTTTGATAGTGTGAAATTATTTTTTATTATTATTTTTATAGATTTTAAGTTCTTAATATATTATTCACATATTTCTAGCAACTAAAAGTATATGAAACTAAGTTTTTATAATAAAAAATACTAAAAACTATTACTCAAGATAGATAATGTGTATTTATATTGTAATAAGCTAAAATAATATTCAATAACTTTACTATATTTTACTAAGTTTCTTTATAATTTTTTAAGATTATAATTCAAAACAATAAGTCTTTCAAGTGATTATCTTCAAGTCAAATATAATAATTGATTGTTTAATAATAATCTATCTTTCAAGATCAAAACCAATATAATTTTATTAAATTATCTAACAAAAGGATAATTAAAGTGATAAAATTTATCTTTCTAAAGCTAAGATACAAGTTGTATTTATAACAAATTATTGGATTTAATTTAGCTATTACACAAATGATCTCCAGTACTTTTCTTTATTGTTATCATTTGGATCACTTGGTTTGCTGTCATTACTTGGTTTGTTATTATTACTTGAATCATTTGGATTGCTTACACAACTCAGTGAACCAATCATTAATAGCTCAAATCTTATTCAATGACAATATGAATACATTTTATGATGAGGTAAATAATTCTCTTTCATCTTTCTTCTTACATGAACTCATCAAAGATGTCACATCAACTAGAAAAACTTCTTGTGGAATATGTAGAAAGGTTTTGGAATCAAATATGGAGATACTGATTCTTTATATCTCACCTGTCCTGTTGAATGTTATAAAGAATGTGATTTTGTTTATAATAGTAGTACTAAAGACACAACCTCGAAGCTAAAATACTGGACCGAAATGGTTAAAATTACTATGGGTATAATGAAGAAATTACGTGACGATGTGAATACATATCTTAGGTTAAAAAGCAGATCGACCTATCTTTAGATGGGTATTCAATCTTTCAATTCGATTTACTTCAATAATAAGATTACAATTACTTTATTTATATTTGTAAGGAATATAAATAATTAGTCATTTCGAAAAAATACTAATAGTAAGAGGATAAAAAAATAAAAAACAAATTGTCAATTGTTCAATTTTCGCAATTGTTCAATTTCTTGAAATTATTGATTGATTGTGTTTATAATAATAATAATAGTCCGTAAATAGATTGAAATTAAACTAACAAATAAATAAACTTAATAAAATTATAGAAAAAAGAATGTTGTCATTAATTTATTTACATTCACCACTAATATTTAGTTGAGAAAAAAAATCAAAAAACGTAAATTAGTACCACTTTTAACAATATCAAAAAAAGTTCATTCGGGAATTTACCTGTCTATTAAATCCAGGGTTACTAAATCCTTGATTCAAATTATTTTGTTGTTGCGGCGAAGAAGCATTATAAAAATTCCCAGAACCAAGCTGATTCTGTTGCAGTTGCAATTGTTGTTGTTGTTGTTGTTGCTGCTGCTGCTGCAATAAATATAGCTGTTGCTGCTGCTGTTGTTGTAATTGTGGTGTTAATCCGACACTACCACTAGTACCACCGATTCCTGATAATCCATTATTAAAAGTATTATTGGGCGCGGTAATTACTTGATTCCAGTTTCTGGTGGTAGTAGTGGTGGTAGTTGTTGTAAATCCAAATCCACCAGCTATTAATATATATATATATATATTCATAAACAAGTTTAGTTAACAGAACACTAAATAAACAAATTCAAAAAAGATAAAAATAATACTTGCCAGCTTGATTATTGAATACACTTGGTGCTTGTGCATCTACTTGTTTCAATGCATCATATTTACCAGAAGCTAACCGAATATTTAATAATATTCAATATTGAGATTATTCGGTAATTATTTATACGATGTTTATGCAATTATATACGTACCACTGCTTCCAAAACCAGACGACTTCATTGACGCAAATACATTTTGAGGCTCATATTTCGATGTGGTGTTTTGCTGTTGCGTTAATTGTTGCGATAATTGAATAGATGATTGTTGAAATTGTGGTGATTGTTGAAATTGTGGTAATTGTGGTTGAGACAATGGAGGAGTATATGGTGATGTCAGCAGAGTTGCTGATTTGGTGTGATTTAAAGATGTCAAGGAATTGTTGGAATTGAATTGAGTAGATGGGAATCCGCCACTAGAAGTTGATGATAGTTGACTGGGCGAAATATCTGCAAATTGAATTTTGTGAATTATAAGGATAGGTTAATTAATAGCGGATGGGTAGATAATAGACGTTGCAAACATACTTTGATTTGTCCATGTAGAAGAATTTGCACCTAATAAACCAGTATTATTAGATTGATTGAATCCACTGTTAACGCCACTTAAGGCATTAAATGCTGTCAAATTGGGTGCAGAATTCACACGTTGTATCGTATTATTATTATTATTAGAGGTCGTGAGGAGATTGTTATTATTAGGTATTAGGTTGTTGTTGGTGTTTGTGATTAGCCCACCTCCAACATTTAAATTCAAACTATTTAGATTAGAAGTGTTATTGGACACTACATTATTATGGGTTCCGACATAACGACCACCCGTGGAAATCGGAATTAATGGCGGAGGAAGCGTCTGAATAGTAGGAACGACGATAATAGGTTGGGATGGTGGTGGTAATGATGTTGATGGTTGCTGATTTATTATAGGATTATATATTGTCGGTGGTTGCAATTGTTGTGCCTGCTGTAAATTCGATTGTTGTAAAAGTTGTGGTGTATTTGTTGCGACAAGAGTCGAATTTGATGAAATAGAATTTATTGATGGAGCAGATGTTGATAAAACTGAAGGAGTAGGCGAGGAAGTAAGAGAAATATGATTTCCGGTCCATGCGCTTGTATCAAATTGAGCTGCAGATTTAGGTGCAACTGGTTTAACACGCGAAGAATTTATTATTGGAGGTTGAACAGGTGGTGGAGGCGGTGGTGTGGGTACAATCGAGGCGGCAGCAGTATTATTGATAACGGGTGGTGGTGTTGGGAGTGCAGGTATCTTATTATCGTTATTATTAGTTTTAGCAACAGAAGTTGGCACAAGTGCAGGAGTAGAAATATTCGTATTCGGCGTAGTCCAAGCATCATTCTCAAATTTATCTTCATTAAACGAAGAGCTCGAGGTTTTAAATGCTTCATCAATTTGTGACTTCTCACTAACAAACGATTTAGCATCAATTTGTATTGGAGCAGTCTTGCTTGGCTGTGGTCGTGCCTTCTTTGTATTGTTTTTAAGCACTCCGTTTGTCCCCGAGAAAAGTAACGGGGGAGTCGTCGACGATGGCTTTTTCTCTTCTTTTTTAATTATTGATCCTAAATTTCCGTATATGTCAGCTGCTTTAGGAATCGATCTGCCTTCTCGTTGTGCTATTTTGTTCTCCTCTTCTTGTAGCTCGATTGCTAGTTGTTGATCACGTTTCTCTTGCATCTTTCGGTCATATTCGGTAACTGTACTTCCCTTTTTTAATTCTTCCGACTATATAATTTATTGAAGGTATCTTTATATATTCATTATCCATTTCACATATATCTTATACCAAAAAATACATACTTGCATCCTAAGAGCCATTCGTTTATCAGAAGATTCTTGATCTTCACTGATAACGTTAGCACCACCAAAACTCACGCTTTTCTTCTGCTTCGGAGCCTGAGAAGACGACGACGAAGTAATCTGCGGTTTCTGCTCAAGATATTTCTTAATCCTAATAATATCTCCTTCTTTAACACCAAGTTCCTTCATCAAATCCCGACTCAAATCGGGAATCGAAGTATCATCCATCTTCTCGGCAAGAAACGATGTTGCGTATTTATACGCTTCCTCGTGTCCAATACCGGCTTTCAAAAAAAAGTCAAACCAGTCGTAATCTCTTCGATGAGTTTTAGATGATTTGGCGGCCACAATAGCAGCTAACGGCGTAGTGTCACTTTTGTCGTCGATTTTTGATGAGTTGTCATTGTTATTGTTGTCATTGTTGGTAGAATTTTCATCTTCGATTTTTTCCCCCGTGACTTCTTCGATGTAGGCGATATCTTCTTTACTCATTTTATCGACCGCGACTGCAATTTTTACGCCGTTTAGTTTGTGGAGGTGGACTTTTCCGTCGATGTATTGAAGAAATTGGGCTTCAACTTTGAACGAACCGGTTCGATCGGTCCATGTTCTGGTGTTGGATGGCATTGGTTCTGTTGAAAATAATTTTTGTTTTTGTAGCAAACTGATAATTAATTAAGCAAAGAATAAATAATTCAGGTGAGCGTACTTGATTTTGATTGTGCTTGGTTTGGTCTGTCTGGAAGTTGACGGTTTGTGGGAGTTTGTATTTTTTTTATAGCGTCTTCTAGAAATTTAAAAGAGAGAACGGAATTTAAGAAATCCAGCTTTTTTAAAAAATCACATAATACTAAATAAAAGAAGATGAACAATATACCAACCATTAGAAGAAGCCTTCGATCGTATAGGAGGACGATCTACAAATTTACAAAAAACCAAAAAGATTATTCTTTTATTTTCCTTATAATATATAAAGTAAAACTAATAAGTATGCAATAGAAAATTTACTTGGTAAAACAGGTGGTGGCAGCGGAGGTGCAGAAGCAGCAGCCTGCCTCTGTTTTTCTTTTTCGCGTTGTTTCTGTTCTGCCGCTTCGCGTCGCCGTTTTTCTCTTTCTTCGCGTTGACGACGTTCTTCCTCACGACGTAGTTCTTCTTGTTGTATACGCTCTTCCTCTTCGAGTCTTTGCCGTTCAGCGGCTGCTTCGGCTTCTTCATTGACAGCTTCTTCTTCTTCAGTCTTTATCTATGTGTGTTATTGTTAACAAAAATTGCTTAATAAAACAACACGAAACTTGATGCAAATAAAAACGTAAACACTAAAATACTCACATCGACATACGAAGCAGGCACAACCCCCTCTTTATCATCTTTTCGACATTTCCACCACTCCTCACTACTAATATCATCAACAATCCACACCTCGTCACCCTCCACCACCGAAAGTTCATCATCTCCCTGTGCATTAAAATCATACAAAATAATGCCACGTTTTGGCACTTCCAAAACCACTGCAGCATCTGTTTCCTCGTATAATTCCTCCTGTTCCGGTTCTTCTTCGTCTTCTTGTTGAGGACTTTGCTCTGCCTCTTCATCTTCATGTTGATTATGTGAATAATGAGAAGACGACGACTCATCTGGTGACGACGATTCGAGGATTGCGCGACATTCCATAGCTTTTTGATAGATCGCTTCGGCGTCGGTTTTTGTCCCGGCGTGAAAATCAAATGTGGCAGGTTTTGAGCCGCCGAATGATATGTGGACATGTTTTTTGTCGTTTTTGATGTGTGTTATGTCACCAATGTCCCATTGTTGGACTGGGGCTGCCTACCAATCAAATAATGAAAATAATAGTAAACATGTTAAATCTAACAATACTAAAATAAAATATTTGGAATAAAAAACACGTAAACAATCAAAAGGTACCTTATCGGATTCACTGCCATAAAATATTTTTCCGTTTACGATTCCCAGAGTTCCCTTCTTCTTCTTCTTTTTCTTATCAACTTCCTAAATAATAACAATTACAAATTAATATTGTTCTTACCATTAAACAAATATTAACAATATATTTTATATACACGAATATTATTATTACCGAGACTGACCACGTTTTGGTCTCACTTGCAGCACTAGATGCACCTTTTGGACGTGCAGCATATAGTTTCAGCGGATCGGAATACGAGTTGTTATTACCATTTGCAGCGGCGCTCTATATAATACATTTTTTATCTTGTAATTAATTATGTCCGTGAGTTATAAATCAGTGATTAAAAATGAATTATGAATATGTGTTACCGATAATGTCTGGAATACCGATACTTTAGGATTACTTTGGGATTTAACAGACGCAGCCGCGCCCTCTAATTCATTGTCTTCTGTTCCTACTCCTTCCTGTTGTACATCGTCAACTGAACTCTTCAGAATAAATTATTACAACCAAAAAAACCAGCAAGAAGTATCCAGTCAGAAATCTTTTTGTGGATTGTTTGATTAAATATCAATACACCTTCTCTCCTTTGAACACACAGATACGCACCTCCTCGAGATAATTGGCCGGAACTAATCCGAACTGGTCGTTGAATTTTGCGAGATGCCAATCGTTATCATCTGATTCATATATATATAACAAATCGTCCGCTTCGAACGACAATTCATCGTCGTTTTGTGCCTCGTAGCTGTAAAGTGCTTTTGCTACTGAAACATATTCTGCCTATATAGTAACAAAATACAATAATGTTATTCTATCCAACTAACAATAAAAATTCATAGTCAAGCTAAACCCTCTCAACCTATATTCATACACACCTCATGAACATAATTACTCGGCACAAGCCCAATAGGTCCATCTTCGTCACTTCCACCGCCATCTTGTAACGAAACTTTTAGCTTCGCCTTCCACCACTCTTTGTCATCGTCTTCCAGAATATATAGAACGTCGTCTTCTTTGAATGAAAGCTCGTCCTCTGTCGCTGCATCGTAATCGTACAGTGCTATACAGATTTTCACCAGGTTTTTTGGCATGTTGAAAAGAAATTAATATATGATTGTTCGAGTATTAATTATTTTTTAAGAGTGAGGTGATTAACTCGGAACGAGCAATATAATGTATGTGTATATATTTTCTATAAATATTAAACTATGTCAGAACTTGTTAATTACAAATAAAGATTTGAAAGAAGGTAAAGGAAAGACAACTAGATAACGATAAAATAAATAAAAAGCTTTGGAAGATACGATGAAATAAACTAAATATGTATAATAGTAGATGTCTTAAAAAGGCAAAAAATGATATTCATCTATCAAGATTTTCTTAGCGTTAGCTATGTTTGGTTACATTCTCTTATAAGCAATTTTGGATTAAATACTTGGAACTTACACTTTCCATGAGTTAAATTACTCAATAAAAAATTAATATCACGTGAATTTTTTAAGCATAGCGGGCTTAAATTTGATTGGTTGATCTTCAAAATGTATCATCGCATATTTAGATGAGACGAATTCGCAGACAATAAAATTTTCGACTTGGTAGTATTCGTTATGTTCCATAAACTGTTAGAGTAATTTGAAAAAAGTGAAGTTAGCTATAGAGGAGTTTTTATAGATGTTGTCTGTACAGCGTCCTGTTGGTGAGAAAAAAGGTAAAAGAAAGGCAGAGTACTGTGACCTGGAGGAATATGATTTTGCGATTATGGCGTTTTTGTAGCATCTAATAAAGTGACTATATATGTATACCAGATATTAACAAAAGTGTTTCAAAGTCACCTGATTTCAGTTTTTAAGCGTTGTGCACTATATGATATACATAATGATACAGTGGCACTCAAAAGTAATGCATCACTTGAAAGATAAATTTTGCGACGCAATAACTTCTCGTACACGACGTTAATCAATATATAACTATGCTTATTTTAGTCACCAAATATAAAAGAATTATTATATTTACTTTATTTTTCACCCGTAACTTAAAAATAAAAATAATTCATTTTTACATCAAATTAAGTGATCCGTTTTTTTTTGACCGTTTTGATTACAAAAATTCAAATTGAAATTTCTAGCTAACTAGCGAATAAAAATCCACCAAATTTTAACTAAATATTCTTTACCATCACCCTTTGCATTGATTACATCTTGGATACGCTCATCCATACTTTCGATCCAGACTTTTTGTATCGCATCCCAGAGTTGATCTTGAGTATGAATGGCAATGGATGATCTTCTCAAACGCTGGTCTATTTTGTCCCAGAGATGCTCGATTGGGTTAAGATCGGGTGATTGGGGAGGCCAATCAAGTATACGAATTTCATTATCATCAAACCATTCATATGTAGAGTTTTGGATCATTGTCTTGTTGAAAGACAATATCATTCTTATTAATCTAAAAAATCATCATTCAAGATTTCACGTTCAATTCCTTATCCATACGACCATAAATGGGCACGATATTGTCAACGCCAAAGGATGAAAATCAACCCTAAACCATTATATTCCCACCCCAAAATTTTACTGTAGGTTTCTTTTAGTGGTTCAGTATCACGTTTCCAGTAGTATTCACGTTCATCCGAATTAAAAATCATAAATTTGGATTCGTCGGACCAGATAACTTTGCTCCAGTCATCAGTTGTCCACTGTTGATGTTTTTTTTTGCGAAATTCAAACGTTGAATTCGATGTTTTTTTATTAAGATATGGTTTCTTTCGCTTAATTCGTGAAGAAAGACCATTACGATATGAAGTTCGCTTTATTGTGCTTGCGCTGACTTCGATTTTGTCTTCAGATTTCAGTTTTTTTTGGATGGAAGCTGCAGTAGAACAATCACCATTCGAAATTAAACGTATGATATTTCGTTCGTCGCGACCAGTAAAAATTCTAGGACGACCTGGTTTTGGTAAATCTTTAAAGATATCATGAGTATCTTTTTTTGCTTTATTCTTATGACGGTGGATTGGGAAATATTTTCACGATGTGCAATAAAACGAGAGGAATATCCTTCTTGAAGAAGGATATAAATTTGGGCTCTTTTCGATGGGAATATGTGCCATGATAATTTGAATGGTATATGATAAAAGAGTAAATTCTTATGTGTATTTTATATATAGGGTGTGTGTATTGTTTTGTTGTGTTTTTTTGATGTGCTTATATACTTTATTTTGAGGGGGGAACGATCAAAAGAAATGCATCGCTGGTTTGACGTAAATAAAGACCAAATAAATAAAGTGGCGTTACATTTATTATTTAAATTACGTGAGCAGTTTATTTAGGCTTTTAACTATATATGTGTTGAACTTCATATGTCTGTAGCGTTTATATCATTAAAAAATTGACTTTTATTTTTCGTTTCAATGATGCATTACTTTTGAGTCCCACTGTATAACTACCCCCAAAAAACACAAACTTCTGATATAATATATAAAATTACAATTAATTAACTTCCTCTTCAAACAACTCTACAGCCTCTTCTAATATCTTGACACCATGCGATGCTTGATCCTTTGTCAGAATCAAC